ATTACAGAAAATAAAGAAATCTTCAACAAGTACAAACCATATTTTTCATTTTTCATTCTTTGCAAAATAAATATCTCATTGAAAACTCCCATATGCTAACAGCTTAGTCCTTGATTTCCTGGATTCGGTGTAAAAATATGTTATCAGTATTACAGCTTTTTGCTAACAAGACATGCCCAAATAGTAAAGCATGGCTGGATGTTACTTACTGTTACCCTCAAATGCTCACCTGTTTGCAGCTGGAGAGGAACACCATGATCTTTGATTTTAAATGATTCTTTATAAATGACCATAGCAAGTCTAATTTCTGGTGAAGTTCACAAACAAGGTAACTCTGTGCTAGCTGTGTTGGTGTACTGTGTGCTGCATTCTCATGTACTGACACATACATAGGATCCTTCAGACTCAGTCGAGCCAAGTCCTTCACTGACCTAAAATTTGAGCAAAGAAAAAATTTACTGACACCAACCTCACCTACACATTTCCTATTTTCCTTGTCAATTTTTGAATAAATTACTTTAAGTTACATAAATAAGAATATAGAAATCTTAGTGCATCTACTTAATTTTTGTTATCTTTGCTACACATACAAGGTCATCACTTTTTTGCTGAAACTCACTTGGTTTGAGTTGCAGAGAACAAAAGTGTTTGTCTGTTTTCTGGGAGATTAGAAATGATGGCATTCATGGTATCCTGAAAACCAAGATCCAAAATCCTGTCTGCTTCATCTAGCACTGAAACAGATAACAATGTAATACATTTTTAAGGAAAAATGATCTCCTCACGATTTGCTCAAAAGTTAACATCATATCACATATTATATTATGAGCCACAAGAAAAAAAGATCTGCATCATTTTCCCTATGACATGACAATTATTTTCAGCAAAAGATCTCAGTCACATTCAAAATGATGACACTGACCTTGAGCAAGCCTGTACTTACCCAGTATTTGAAGATTATCTGCACTGAAGTTAAATGTTTCATCCATATGTTGCAGTAACCTTCCCGGAGTGCAGATCACTATGTTGGTGTTATTAATTCTCTTGGTCTCATCTCTTATAAACTTAAAAGCAAATTTTAAGCATTCATATGAAAAAGGTTCAAAGGTTATTCATTTGAAAATGACTTATCAATGACAATACACCCTTACATACTTAAAACCAACATTTCAATGATGATAAGAAGTTGCACAGTGCATTGAAACTTTCAGTACTGTATATGTGTAGAAACATGAGCACTATAAGCATTATCCTCACCTTGCCCCCTATGACCAAACCAGCAGAAAAGTCATGCTTGAAACCAATCTTCTGCAAGACTTGAAATATCTGATACGCTAACTCTCTGGTTGGAGTGATAATCAGTGCACCTAGACCGTCAAGTTGACTCCAGCGTTGATGATAAAGACATTCTAGTACCTGAGACATATTTACATGTACTGTATATATATTCAGAAAAATGGATACTATAAATCTTATAACAAAATAAATTAAAAAGACATTAAGAAATGCAAAAGCAAAACATTGTATAACTTTAAAAATATGTATCTTTTCTCAAGTAAATATCAAGTCTGAACATTTTTTGTATGCTAGTATGAAAAAGGAAACCATCAACAATATTAGCTACCAATATATCAACATGCCCTAATAAATATTTATAATTGCTCTGCAAACACTGACTCTTTTTCCAACCCTTCTAACTGTTATATAAATATGTCTATTACTTACTGGTATGAGAAATGCTAATGTCTTTCCTGACCCCGTTTTGGCTGCTCCCAAAATATCATGTCCTTGTAATGCTAAGCCTATAGATTCCCTTTGGATTTCAGTTGGAGTTTGATACTCAGTTTGTGCTAGACCTTAAACGAAACATCATATTTTGGAAATTGCATAACATGTATTTATATATATGCATTTCATTGATGAAATTTCTACAAAAAAAGTATTACCACATTGGACCTTTTTTCACATGGAATCTTTTCAGCCCACACAGTGAAAGAAATTTCATTCTAGGGCCTATTGCCAGATTCACAACCAAAATGATAGACAGACAAACAGATCTACAGATCAAATATGGATGACCCACTTGAAAGATTTCTGCATAATCCCCTGGTGAATCTATTCAGTGTCTATTAGAGGATTCAGTGACAAACTTTCAGATGGGTCCGCCATATCTGATCCGTGGATCTGTTAGTTCGCTGTTGAACGTGACACCATTATAACTTCTCAACATTAAACTCAATGGGAAAATCACTATAGCCCTGTGTTAGAAAAACCACATACCTTCAAGGGTTCTTCTTGATAATGGAAAGTCTGTTAACTTCTCAACAGCCGATGGGTTGATCTTGTATAAAAAGGTAACTGTATTAGATCAACAGTTCTCTCTCTGTGTGTGTGTGTGTGTGTGTGTGAGAGAGAGAGAGAGAGAGAGAGAGAGAGAGAGGGAGGGGCTAAATTTCACTGTAAATGCCCTTTAGGGTCGATATTAGAGAGGTGTTTCGCTGATAGAGACGATATGTAGTCAGGTATGAAACTGAGAGGGAGATAAATTAAGACTTGCAAAAAAGTGCACTATATTTACCTCTGGATATTTTTCTTTCAAGTGCTTCATTTCTTCTAGTTCTAATTTCCACGTCTTTTCCATTCTTTTGAACTTTGACTTATGGTCAAATTTTCTTTTCCTACCATTATTGGGCCGTTGCTTCTTCGATTGAATTTTTTTCTTATCCATAGCGCCTTGCTCGTTGCAAGCTCCCTACCACGTGGAGAGAAATTTGCCTCCAAACACAAAAGAGGGCTCTTTCCTGTGGCACGTTCTGTGCTCATGCAACTCCCTCAGTTTCACGCTCGGGCGTGCTCAGTTTCATAGGTTATTGTTCAACCAAGGAGTTACAACAGTTGTAACTCCTTGGTTCAACTGATTGTGTCTAATGTTTCTTTTGTCACCAACGTGTCTCTATCATATCCAATCACTTTTTCTTCATTTTTTATAAAATAAATCGCTCAATTTATCAAATTTTAATTGAAAAAAATCTGTCATCTTTCCAATAAAATCTAGAAAGCGATGATTGGGATTTTCACTGGTTTTTCAGAGTCAGCAAAGAAGGCCAAGGCCTTTAATTTTTAATTTGTGCTTAACTGGCTACGAACACATTAGCTTCTGTTTATTGGATTTTTTAAAAATTATCCGATAGGCCTTTAGAACAATGACACGATCAAAAAAGGAAGGGCTAGCTTATTCCGCCAATCACTAAATATAGCCTAAAGGTATGAGAATCTCCTCCGAGCGCAGCCGAGAATTAATTACAGCTTTGAAAGTAACTCTCTCGCGCTGCCAGTAATTACGCCGCGGGGTATTCAGGGCACAGACCGTGATCACAAGTTACCGCAAATAGATTTTTAGATTTTTAGAAAATAGATTTTTTATGGTCCCTTAGTAAGAGGCAAGTCTTCTGGAACAAAAGAGGAGTAGACTGAATTCTTTTATTTATTGCCAATTTTATATATGTTTTAAAAAATGAAGGAGCAGATATCACACTAATTGAGAATTTTTGACTTGATTTTGAACTGCGAAATGGAGCATTTCTTCTTAGCCTGATATTTAACTTGTTCTCCATATATAATTACACCTGTTCATTCTTATTAGTGGAACTGCATACACAAATCTAATAACCTGTCCTCTTGGGGCTAATCAATGAGAAAGCTGGTTATACACTGTTACTATTTGTATAGTGACTATATACAACAAATGTTCCCCATTGCTTCAATAAAATCCATTGGCGAGTGTCCGCCTAGGAAGCACGTGAGCTTACAGTATACAGCCTTGATGTAGTAGTGGGTTGGTTGTACCAGTAAGTAGATATAAAGTTTCTGCAACTCTTAAATAATTGAAAAATCTTTCTTGGTGACAAAATGATCGCACAGAAAGTTAAAATTCGCCCCTTTCAAGTGATACTGGGAGTCTTTGTCATATTGACGTCAATCGTTCTTCTTGCTGCGATAGCTGGTATGCATCCCAATATTCCGAGAATTCATAGCGACCTTCACTCTAGCGAGAATAAGGTAGGTCTAATTTTCTTCATTAGGAAATTATCAAAATGTTATTTGGTTTGTTTTTCACAAATATGTCTACTACGCACATCTTCTTACATATTATGGCTGTAAGGGTCCGTTAAATGTTTTTTTTTTTAATTATTATTTATTTAAGTACATGAATGACGTTTTCTAATTTTCTTCATTAGGAAATAATCAAAATGTTATTTGGTTTGCTTTTCACAATTATGTCTACTACGCACATCTTACATATTATGCCCGTAAAGGTCCGTTAATTGTTTTTATTTAAGTACATGAATGATGTACAATCAAGATAACAGTTTATCATATCTGATACCGTTAACATTTTTATTCAGAATATCACTTCTGATCCTGTATTATCATTTCGTTCTCAGGATTATCATCTTCAATTTAAGTGGAATGGAGTTGATTTTTCATGGAAAGCTGAGAACGACTATCGCAAACGCAGGGTTGCAAAGACCTGCGACAAATGGGGGTTGACGACAAAATCACAAAAACTGATCTTAAACCCTAGGAATTTCTTCTATGTGGATGATATCCATGGTCTGATCCTGTGCGTTATCCCTAAAGTTGGAAGTACAAGTTGGCACAAGTCGATCGTTGTGCTCACTCACCAATGGGATCGCAGAGAGGTTATGGATCCACATGTCTTGTATGGCCAACTGTATCCCGATTTGATCAAACTTGAAAAATTTTCAGAGTACGGCATAGCGTACCGCTTGAAACATTATCTTAAAGTGATGTTTGTTCGGCACCCTTTTGAAAGGATTGTCTCTGGCTATAGGGACAAGCTAGAGGATCCAAATGACGGCTACCGCCACCTGGGTAAATTTCTGTTAAAAAAGTATAAAGAGAAATACATAACAGTGGACAAAAACGGGACTCGAATACCATCATTTGGTGCGTTGGCGCAGTATATCATCGAGACTGATGATGACTTAGATAATCATTTTCGACAGTACGAAAAAACTTGCTTGCCGTGTCAAGTACAGTACGATGTTATTGGCAAGTTTGAGACTTTTAACGAAGATGCTGGTAACGTTCTGAAACTTCTTCAGGCAGACCACGAATTCAGTTTTCCGTACAGCAATCCCAGCTCTGCAGTCAAGACCTCGACGCTCGTGACTAAATATGTACAAACCCTGACCAAACACGAAAGACAAAACTTGTGGGCTAAATACGAACTTGATGCAGATTTGTTTGGTTACACTTTGGACAAATTGTTTAACGAAACTAGCTAGTTAAATTCAGCTGGTAACGTGTAAATGTAATTTAATAACTCTCTATTTGACTTATGTCGGATTTGATATAGATTTAATTGACGCTCGTTTGTTCAGAAAACAAGCAACAATTAAATAAAAAAAAGTTGTTTGCTTAATTTTAAAGACATAGGGGTATATTCAGTTCAGTTTTTACTGCACTGCTACATAGATTATCATGAATATTCTAATGCGTTATAATTTAGCCTCCGTTACGTTCGTTATGCGATGGCCCGGTCGGTCGTACGAAATCGTACGGATTCACGGCCTCCCTAGGCACTACGGTTTTTTCAAGCTCAAACTTTTGACAAAAGTTTAAAATCGAAAGGCCGTAGCATTATCGAAGATGACATCGCGCAGTTCCCGTACAGGCATTGTTAGGTGAACCAGAGTTCCAACTTATTGGAACTCCCTGGGTGAACTAGCGGTGATCGTGTTCATGGCTGAACCTGTTGGTGGTCTCTTTCCTTTCCACCTTTGGTTGTTGAAGGCGGCAAAACAATAGTAAAGATATTGAAAATTTAAATTAATTCACTTGCATGAATTTGAAGTGCGTTTCCTTAAGCCAAGGTCCCAACTACGTTTTGGACGCACGGTTTTCAGGTTCCTTGCGTCCTGCTAGGAGTAGCTAGATCGCACGTACCGGTTGTTGATCATGTCGAAAAGTTTCTACGTGCTGTTTGCGTCCTCCAAAAGTCGCACGATGGACGTGCTCCTCACGCACAAACTCCCACGTTTTACCCGGGGCAAATGTAATCTGGGCATTAATCCTCATTTTTTATTAATGTTACCTTTGAAAATTTCTTACTATCTTTTGTAATTTTGATAATCCATGGCACAATTTCAATTATAGTATATGGCATTTTAGTCATTGAATGAGCAATCAATTACAAGACCGACTTCATTTTGACAGAATAGTTCGATGTGTCTTAAACGTACGTTTAATAACTAATATTATTTTTTGCATTTATATTAACTACTAAGGTGGACCTTATGTAAACTATATGCCACTTAATCTCACCGCTTTATAAAACTGGAACAAAATATTAGAAAAATATTTTATTTTCTATACATTTGCTGAACAAAACTTGAATATTTTTCAGTAACGTATTTACAAATGCACTACTTAAAACAGCTTAATAAAATTGAAATATAGTAAAACAGGTGTATTCTTAACCACCATAACCAGAAGATTATAAAAATGACAAGAACAATAATGGTCATTATATATTTGGGCATTAACAAGCAAATATATGAACTTCACCTTTCAAATAAGTAAATATTCTTATTAAAATTCAAAATTACTGTATTGGGATCACTTTATTTCAGAATATCTCACTCAAACACAAATATCTAAATAGAAAAAAGAAACCAAGATACCTCTGTCACTCACTTTATTATCCCTAAAATAAAAGCAAATGACAGCTGTTACAGTAGTATTTAAAGTACTTGTATGTTATCATGCATTCATACTTTAGGATGCCACAATGACATACTTGTATTCTCATTTAAAGCCAATGATAACCAGGCACACAAACACATACCCAGCACTTTTTCCATTGTCATTTTCATGTCGTGCAAGATCAACCTACCCAAATAAATATTTGGTAATGTGGCATAGACACATTGTTTACTTGCTTTCACAAGACCTCATATTTCCCTATTTCAATAACATTGTATTTCTCTGACATGGGGTCATGCAGGAGCCAGCAATTACTAACCAATTCTGTTAGCAATCTGAATACAATAAAATTCATCTCTTTCAAGGTGGTGGTGATGGATTTTGCTCCTGTGGAAATTCTTATTCCTGCTGGTTCCCCCCTTCTGCACCTTCACCCCAATTAAATCCACCAGGTCTTTCTTCAGGCAGTGGGTTGTAATTGGGGTCCTCTTGAGGAGGGTCCAAAAGAATTTTTCTGCAAATTAAGAATAAATGTCAAAATTATTAAATTGGTCAGCTCTTTTTACTTAAGTACTTTGACAAAATTGACAAACTGATATTGCAATTCTACTATTGTTCATAATTTCTCAATAAAAGGCGACTCTCTGTGAAAAGGATCAGTGGATGAAATTTATGTTTTTAAAGATGTATATAAAGTCAAATTTTTGCCATAAACCCTGACCAAATTCCACCATATACATTCAAATATCATAACTGAAAGAAATACCAAAGGGTGTTGTTTCGTGATATTTGAATGGGTATTTTCTGCTTTCATTCTGTCATATATATATATATATATATATATATATATATATATATATATATATATATAAAACCCCCATACGTTTTTGACAGCTTATTTAAATACCTGCATGCAGCAGTAATGCACTTATGATTCATACACCACTTGGTGAACTTTCACAATCTGGGGGACAGATTACTTAAGTTTACATCCAGAAATTTCAAGAAGGTGCAGCTTGATCTAGATTTAGAGATTTAGATCGATCCAGAGATTATAGATTTAGATCGACCTAAATCCCTGGGGGCTCACGCTAAATTGCAGTCAGCCGAGCATGCACCATATTTAATTACCCCCTTACAGCTTTTAGTAGGCGGGACAGATGCTTAAGCTGGCTAAGCTGACAGTAATCTAGTGAGACTCCCCACAGGGATAGATCGATCTAAAATCTATGGGAATGGGGTCAAAAGCTCTTTTATGGCTGATCAATTTATTAAATGGGGTCAAAAGCTCTTTTATGGCTGATCAATTTATTAACTTGGATCATGCCTTGGCATGTCGACTTTGAGTGATACAAGAAATTAGAAGAACTGGTTTATATGCATTACAGGAAATCTACACTCACTTTATATGTTATTTTAGTCAAAAATGTCACATGAGCACTGCAGTCAAATTTCAGTGTCAGTTGTTTTTTGTTTCCAGTTCAATGTTGAGGGGGCCACAAGGGTTAAGCCAGCAAGCTATCCAACTGTTATTTAAATGTCCTTTGCTAGAAGAGGACAGCATATCTTACAGCTGCAAAATTCTCTTAGCAAAAGTCTTCAAAGTGAAAGTGATTGATTTGACAGCCAATTGCAATTTAAAAGTTAAGTGAAGACATTTTACTTACAATAATTTTGGTGTTCTCAAAATCTTAAAACCACCTTGCTGTTCTGGAAATACATCTTCCAGGTAATAATACACATGTCCAACAGCAATACCTGTAGGAAAAAAATTTGAAATTGATATCTGCCAGACCATTAAATAGGGAAGCAAACACAGCATCAATAAATTATGTCACATTTTCTACCAAGCTGCTATATTCATCTATTGTGTTTTTTTTTTTTTTTTTTTT